GTGTAATGGAGAAAAATGCGTTTAAAGTGATCCAAACTCTACCTTTTCTTTAGCATCGGTGAACCGAAATTAATTTATAAAAACATTAACTATGCAGTGTAAACTAATGAAACTTTCTGGGAATACTCTCCAGATGTTGGTAGATATAAATGACATTTTTCAAAATCAATTTTTTTCGCCTTTTTTTGTGTGGTAGTGTTTTTTTTTTAAGAAATATTTTGTTTTGTGTCGTAAATTCCCTAATTTATCAAGGAAATAGAATAAAGCAAACTTCGCATGTCCTGAAATCTGTGCAACTTCGGCATGGTTTTCCACACACATATATCTCAGCCTTTAGGCGTTATTGAGTTCATGCATCAGCCAAAAAAAAAAATGCAGGTCACGGAGGTGTGCAAATTACAACCCAAGTGCGTAACTTACAAGAAAAACATGGATGTGCTAAACCTGCAGCGTCCCGCTCTGTATTACGGTAGAAAATAATTGCTTCAGAGATTTCCACAGGAAGTGATTTTGGATACTCTTCAAGCATGGTGGTTACCTGGACTGGCCACCTAATATCTTGTAACCCGCAACCATTATATACAATTTTCTTTTGCGAAAATAGTTTTCTCAATGTTTTATTTGAGTATTTCTCGAATAAAATTAAGTTTTTCTGCTAAACCCAACTTCTGTGCCTGAAATCGTCAAGCATTATTATCATGCTGCAAGTTTGCACGCGATTTTGCACAACACCACTACTTCCACCGGTTTTTTTTTATGGTCGTGTTGCCATAAAAAGATTGTAAGAAAATCGGATAAAGTGAATCAGGCTGCGCTCAATGCAGACGTGATTGTGTTCGAACCTGAGCTCCTTCCCAGCCTATTTTTACTTTTTCACATTTTTGATAAATTTAGCTGCCATGGGCCGCTGACACTAATCTCTCGGTTAAAACGAAATCCGCTGAGGTAGGACGTTGAATCCGTCGCTCTCGATGAAGGCTCGCAGATTCTGCCTAAAAGAGATATGCACCCTTTTATGCCTTTGTTGCGTACGGTTTTACGGAAGGCTCCATACATGCTTCCGAATGCGGACTACCCAAACGTTTGTTTTATGTTTGTTTTTTTACTATATTTACATAGTACAATTTTTGTTGTTGCAATTTTTCAGTTGCGGCTAATCGAGCACTGCATCTTTCACTACGCTTTTCTGCCACACGAGTAACGTCGCTGCTGCGAATTCGCAAGCAAAATCGTACCACCTAACGCCCGATTCACATGATGTGCTTTTCCTTGCGATTTCGCAGGTACGACGCCGCTCATATCGCAGCAAACAAAAAACAAATACAGAAAAAATGCGTGTTGGAAGTTGCCATGTTCGACGTCGCAGCTGCGAAACTCTCAAGTCAATTCACACCCTGTGAATCGGGCTTGAATCAGACATTAGAGGTCGAGAAATTATTCCCAGAGTTCCATCTCACAAAAAATACCACTTCGGTTTACGATAAGGTTTTCCATCCCGAGTCACTCGACAGCAAGGAAGATAAGAAATGACGCATTTGTACGATCTTTCCCAGTGTCGTAGATACGCCTATCAATTAAATATACTAAAAAAGGACACAACGCTACCCGAAGATAGCAGGGAATATATGAAAACGAGTTTCCTAGAATCCTAATACGCCTGTTTCACGGGAAATTAAGAGGCGTTGAAACCGAAAACCCTCATTCAATCGGCTCCTTTGTGTATAGCACTTTGGGTCGATATCTAGAGCGTTATGTCACGAAACCTTTGCACGGCTGCCGCCAGGATAGCGCTATAACCAAAAAGGACTAAGGCTGGACATCGGTTGTTTAACCCGTGTAATCGCCACCTTTTCATCTTCGATTAATCTGTTTCGTTCATTCCCACGCATAAATAGTTTTAAAAACTCAAAATTACATCTTGTGCCTTTGCTGAATACGTCAAAAAGGGCGCAATTTACAATTTTTGATTTTAAATCTCGATTGATGTGTAGTTGAGAACAGTAAAAAGACACCCGCACTCACGAATGATTACTTCCGTTGCAGAGGCGAAGAGGTTTATTGATATTCTCCGGCAAAAGCAAACTTCTTCGAGTGTTAATTCTTACTCTGGTGTGTTCGATTCGGTACTATTCCGTGTTATCGCGCTCGTGCCCTAGTTTTGGGAGTGCTTTCTTTCGCACAGTCTTAGCTAGGACTCCGTTTCTAGCAAGTCGGCCCAAATGCAAACTATTTAAAAAGAAAACAAAAATGTTTTCATCCGAAACTTTCTTTTTTTTTTTTTTTTGCGGTCTATACACTATGGGCATCGAACCACAGACCGGATATTCGCGTTTTTAAACAGCGCAGGCAAGAGATGAAATAGCGTACATTGAACAAGCACTGGCGCTGTCCTCGTTGTTTGTCTCCCCTCGTTCTTTCCTGGCTTGTCTGCGCTGTTTAGTTTTATTTGACAAGCAGTAAACTTTGAGGAACTGTGCGAATTCATGCCGCGACCAGACGACGCAAAGTGAACGATCCTTCAGCTTCCTGGCGGTAGAGGACACAACACCTACTTTCACGGGCTCTGAAATATATTTTTTTTAAATCTTGAAATGCTCTTTAACGCTCCCCCAATTCACAAATTTTGTCTGTCCGTCCATCCGTCCATTCGTTTGACCGTCCGTCCATCCGTCCATGCATTTCTCGCTAAATTTATCTGAGAAATTGATATCACGAGACCTATACACGAATTCAGTTTGTCAGCTAAATGTAGCGTGAAAATTGATGTCACATGACCCTACGTCACAGGGCACAGAGAACAATTCAGTTGCCCCGCTGAATTAAGCGGAAAAATTCACGGCTTCTGGCCAAAATATTAATGCAGTTTCCCCACTCAATTTAGCGAGAGAATACACGTCACGTGACACACCGATTTCTTAACCAGTTTCCTATAATTCATCTCAAATAAAGGTCGCTGTAATCTTTTTTTTTATTCAACTTTAGTATATTCTGCGAACTGCGACAGGTGAATGCCTCCCGCGTTTTGTTTGCAGGAGCAGCAGGAGTGCACACCACTCCTGAATCGGGCTAACGGCTGCTTCCAATTTAAATGTGGCAAACGCTCCCTCGTGTGTCGAAATGGCAAGCTCGAGCAAATAAACTGTGCATGATGTCTAAAAAAAAAAAAAAGAAGAAACACCGAAAAAGTAAATTACGCATTCCCAAACGTTCATTCTCCGCCCAAATACACTCTAAAAAAAAAGTCTGTGCGCCTACTTTCACGCACAACGCTCGGAGAGCCAATCAGCGCCACTTACGGAGGCAGCTCAGCGAATGACGATGCCGAAACATATATGTTTAGACCAAAAAACGCAGTCTGAGTTGTGACATTAAGCAATGCAAAACGTCACGCTTGCATTGCTTAATGTCACAACTCAGACTGCGTTTTTTGGTCTGAACATATGTTTTTGTATCGTCATTCGCTGAGCTGCCTCCGTAAGTGATGCTGATTGGTTCTCCAAGTGTTGTGCGTGAAAGTAGACGCACAGACTTTTTTTAGAGTGTATATCACCGGTGGTCTTAACTAGATGCCAGAGTTTCAAAAACTACTCGTTATCTTATTAAAAACATTTAAGTGATTTTCTGAAATTTTTAAATGGAAAATTCGACGAACGCAGCTCTCGAATACACGGAGCTGGATGGCGCTCTTTGCCAAAAACTGGCGAAAAACGGACCCTATTTTTCTATTAAAATTTTCAGAATATCACTTATAACTTTTGAACGAGAGGACGGTTAGTTCTGAAACTTCTGCATCTACTTCGGACCGCTAGCGCTAACATTTTGGGAGGAAAAAAAAGTGTTCGACGAAGTATAATTTATTTTTATATAATAATTTTTGTTTGTTTTTGTTTTGTTTTAATTATGCATTGGAGCGTTACCTTTTGTATATAATATGATGGCCTATTAGCGAGACGTTCAAACTTTGGGGTGTCTTTGTACAGCGGATTTCCCACACATATCGGTGTTTATATGATTAACACAAAGGATGTGCATTCTATATCTCGATCAAGAGCGGGGCAGATTGGATCACACGAGAGCTGCAACAGCGGTGGGCTGGAATTTATATTCAGTTGATGGTTCACTGATTAAACGTGAGTCCTGACCAAATAAACGTCATTAAAAAAAAAAATGCTCGTTGCTGCTTGCGGGGTGAGTGGTCTTTCTCCTGCTCAATAGCCAGCGGTTCCTCAAACAGGGAAGCGCTGTTTTCTTTGTTTACAATAAATTAAAAAAATGCGATAGAGTCGCACCGAAGTTATAAATTGTAACTGACACGCATGAACACGGCAGAGGTAAACGATCCCTCATCGTTGTCTTACCTACGGACATTCCTCAAGCATTGTTGAAGGATGTTTGATTCATACATATGTCTGTTTCGAACATTTCTGGAGGCAGTTTCTGTGTGATCCACGTGACAGAACTATGACACTGGTGACAGTTCTGTCACTAATTGGACGGTTCAGCATCGGAGAGTGTCTGTTTGAGACCGAGACAGTGTGACAGAACAGTCTCAGACAGTCTTCTGTAGACTGTTTTTGTCCGATGTATTAGTCGTGTTCCCGCAGCTTTTAAGACTACAACGCTTAAAAAAAGTCATCGAGTATTTGTCTTCAAAGTACCACCCCCATAATAGAATTATTAGTTCGACTAATAAATTACCTCCTCAGTGTGGTACTACATTGTAGTACTCTATTATTCCCGAGTCCTCAACGTACAACATACATTAAACCGCTGCGATTTCATCCGTGGCAACGTGATATCTCATACTCGTGGACATATTGACGTAAACATGATTCGTTAATGCGAACTTTAAAGAATCCTTGACGTATCGGAGGAACGTACCACACGTGTGAAATTATACAACGCGTGAAAGCGAAAGCGAACGCCGCTCGTAGCACCTCGCGCGGACGCCACAAGATGTCGCTAGGCGCCATAAAAAAACGCGGACTCCGAAGCGTGACGTCACAACGCTCTCGCCTAGCGGAGAGAGCGGCAGGGCGGAGAGCGTCGACGACAGCGGCGAACATTCGCCCCTTCGCCGGCGTCTTGTCAGTGAGAGCCGAGTGTGCGCTGCCGCTGTCCGGTTTCGTCCCCCACCGTGTGGGAGACTCGCGCACCGTGCGGTGCACTGACGGTCTTCTGACGGCTGCGATGACGGCGTCTACGACGTCGACGTGTCAGCGCTGAGTCGGGTTTTAACCCCCCAGAGAACCGCTGGATTTGGGTGCGTGTGTGTTTTCGTGGAACCGTCGCGTCGTCCACGAACTTCGGAGTTTCACGCTTGTCGCGGAAACTATCCGAGGAACGCCGGGATCTTCACCGACCGGTAAGTTCCTGGCTACGCCACTTCCTACTCGTCTCACGAGATAGGGACTATTCGACTGTCTCGTTTTTCTTCTTTTTTGTTTTTCTTATTCGTAATTCATTAGATTTCCACCACCCTCAATGCTCTATCACCCGGTTCACCGTGTTTACAACTAACTGTAAAGGATGTATAGAAGGGACGTGGATGTTCGAGTTGTGGGCAAACTTGCTTGATGCATGATCGCTAGCCTTTCCGCAACACCGACACACCCAGTACGTGCCTTACTCACTCCCCAACTGCAATACCTATCACGCATCATATTATCCCGGAAGAGAAAGCCTGCTGACCATTTGTAACACCCGTCCCAATCAGGGGTGCGGCGGCGGCGAGGGTGTCTGGTCTGAACATCAAGCTGGTCCCATATGATGCAAGTGTCTTAGTAAGACCGATTTAAAGAGTAGTCTGGTCTTGTTGGATTCAAGCAGTCAGTCTGGTACAGGCATAATTGGAAGCCTCGAAGGTGGAGGAAAGGTATGTGGGAAAGGTTGGAAATGAATGGATGTAGGCACTACCGGAGACCATCCCCAATGTTAATTCCCTACATGTTGTAGAGGATCAAGTTGTAGAACTTCTGGGTGTCGCCTCTGTACCGAGTGTTCGGTCTGTTTGAATTCCGCGCGAATCGAATCTAGTAAACAGCTGTTATATTCGTTAGAAGTTTGCGGTAGTGTTGACTCATTTAATTGTTGTTTTTTTCTCTCTCTCTCTTCATCACCTGGCTTTTTTTTTTCTGTTTTTGTTCAAGGTGTCTGGAGTCATTCCCACGCCTTTATTTTTGTAGCAGAGGTGGCGGAGTGCGTGATGGGGTTTGAATATCAACTGTTGTATAACAGCTTCTGTGATCTCTGATGAATTTTGATTCCAAGTTACGTATATATAATAAACATTTGCATTTAAGTTTAACGAAAAGGCGTTTCATCCCGCAACTCCCGCTACGCTCACCCGAAAACATAAACTATCCTATTGCGACCTTTTTTTTTTTTTTTTTTTTTTTTATTCACAATAAAAGACGAGGCCGCAAACGGCAAAACTACCGAAGTCCCAATTAAGTGCGAGATAGTTCGGTCCAGCACGTGTCCCTCATCTTGTTCATGAAGCTCGCTTTGTTTCACTTAAAGAAACTACAGGTCACAGTCAAAAGACGGAAAGTAGGAAGGTGACAGTTCATCGCGCAGGGGCGCACGCATGCATCGCTATAAATATTCCCTTGTATCGAAGCTCCAACAAGCGTAATTTCAATTGACGTTGTTTGCTGTCGTTTGATGGAAGTCTAGAACGGCAACAACATGTAAGAACTTCTGTGCTGAGGGCGACCGGCGGACCCTCGCCTTCTTCTCCACTAGGTCGGTCTTGACCTTCTCCGCGCCTTCCTTCTGCGCGTTTCGTTTCCCACCAATGACCCATTAACCGGGAAGCGGCGCTTTTGCCACCGCTAAGTGCTCCGTTTACGCCTTGATGGCCTCTTTAAATCGGCTGGCCTAAAGATGTTTTTTTAACAAGGTGGCGCGGAATAGGAGGTTGTTTGTGGACTCAAAGAGGGCGTGAGGCATAACATAATTGTTGTTTAACTGAGTAAAACGTAGCAAAATAATGCCGTTTTTTGACACGGCCATCTGTTGTTGAATAGTAATATTGATTAATATCTTAAAACGTCGTATCAATTCAGATAACCGTAAAACGTCAATACATGGCGTTGCTTTTACAAAATACAAAAATTACTTGTTTTACCTCACGCAAATTAATATACGAGAACAATAAGTGATACATTGGTTGGTATATTTCTTCTTCTCAGCTCTGATATTGTGGCTCGGGTACTCCACGCGATATTAAATAATTTAACCTCCGCGAAAGAAAAAAAAGAAAAAACGCAACAGGTATGTGAATTTCAGTTTCATGACTTGTATTATCTTATATCACCAGGCATCGCGGTTCTGAATGTATGATTCATACTGGTCATGAAATTATATCGATGCATGATCACACGCACTTCTCGTTGATACGTTCACCATCGTCCGGGTAAATAATTAGGTACAAGCCCAGATAGATATGTGTATGCAAAAAAAGAAGAGAACGCGGTTAGTCGCTCACGCAGGCATGACAAGGTGATGGTACCTAAAAAGGCGCGCACACCGTGTACCTACACGTGTCTCGCCGATGTTTCACGAGACGACCTCGTCAAGTTTAAATTTATGACATCAGCGGATAGTCGCAGAACCTCCTAAAGGCGTTCCACTCAATTTAGAAAAAGTTGGGTCGTGTGTATGTTTATAGTTTTATACAGCCTAGAGGCTTGGTCTGATTCAACGGGCGACGAGCCTCCCAGCTGCAGATGAGAAATTTAGCCAGTGCAGTACAACCGCTAGCCTAAGGTCTTTAACGTGCATCACGCAGTAGTGATACACGACCGCACGCCGGTACGATGCTCATCCAGATTTCGAAACTGGCAGGGGAGGGGATTGAACCCAGAGTCTCTGGGTGGTTTAGCGTAGGTGTTTATAGCAGACAAGATTACTGAACGACGCGCTGCCACGCCGTAAGCGTGTTCAAAACATCTTTGCTTCATACATCATGAGCTTTGAACATGTGTGCAGATAGTTTTTGGTATGATCAGTTTGTCATGGTCGTCACGCACGAAAAGAAAAGAGACACGCATCACACAGCGTATGCAGAATGTCCTTTGCATCGGGTATTAAAAGTGTGATCGCAGCTTTGAGTGGTATGGGTTCGCGCCGATGTTGGTAGTGGGCCTTTGGAGAAATATATGAGACCCTCCGCCCACCCCCGTGCAAGCTGCGTTTCCTCCTCCTGACAGCAGTACCCAGTAATGCCTACCCTGGAATCCAACAACGCGTCCCTGCCCCTTCCACATTCCGGCCTGCTTGGTCCCCGACGACTGTAACTTGGGCGTGCACAAACGACGCCGACGTCTTTGGGAGTGTCGGCGGCACGGGATCCGCCACAGTCGAAGAGAGTCCTTTTCTTTTTTCCGTCGGGTGTTGCGTTCCCGGGGCGTTCCCCGAGTCGATATATTGGAAGAGAGACGCCGACACGCGGCGCCTACCTCTCCGGAGAGGGCCGATATTGGAAGCCGCCCGATATTGGACCGTATAACGGGCTTTCCGCCGCCACGGGGCCCTTATTGCGGCGACCCTTCACCCTGGCGGCACGCCGGGCCCGTTGCTCGCCCGGAGCAATCAGTCCATCCGTCAGCCGATCTCCCCCTCCTCTTCTCGCGCTCTCCGAATGGCGTCGGTCCGGACGACAGCTTGCCGTCGGCCGCCCTTCATTTCTTTCTCGCCGAGTTCCGTCCTCGACGTTCCTTCCTCGCCGCTTTCGGGAGGCAGGCTGCGCGATCCCGCGTCCCGACCGAGCGTCTCTCTCTTTTGTTGTCTGCCCGCGTCGCGTGTGGGTGTCACCGCCGGCTTCGTCGTATACTCATCTTCGTTGCGGCTGTACTTCATTTGACACTTAGGATAGAGCGCGAAGGACGCTACGAACAGTCCCAACCAATCCGGCGCGGTGAAATTGTCACGTGATTGTGCTCTCCACGCGTTGCTGCGTTTCTCCGGAAGGACCCGTGGCGCTCAGGCGGCGTTTGGGTTGTTTTCTGAGTGGCTCGTAGGTCTATCGCGAAGCGAAACCAAGTATACGGAGTTACGGGGGATCCGTGCGAGCAGAACGAACGATCGCTTGTCTCGCATCGGCGATTCGTTCGTTGACGTTGTCCGCAGCCTCCTCTATACTGGCACAGCCTGGGAGATCGCCACGAGAAGTGGCCACTGAAATTGAAAAAAATGGAGCGGCAGACAACGCGGATGAGAGGAGAGCCACGTGACGGGCGCCCCGCTGCGGCGAAACGCCGAAACACACCTCTCCCGAGCGATGGAATGTCCGCTCGTGCCCCTCGCGTTCCTCGTGCTATACCGCTTCTTTTCTCGTCGGGGTTGGAAACCATGTTTCTGGTCCTCGCCGCTGCGAAAAGATGTGCGCTGACGATGAGGTTCCCCGAGATATAAGCGAGTTTTAGTAGACCGTGTTTCCCGCTCCGCTAAGCCCCTCCGCTAGCCCGAACTCTACAGCCAAGGCCATCGGCGCGCAGGCGCAGTGGCGGTTTCTTCGTAGCGGAAGGCTAGCGGAGCGGGAAACACGGTCTACTAAAACTCCCTATTCTCTCTGCTACCAAATCCTCGCGCTTCAAATCTGCGACCGGGCACACTATGGCTCCATCGTCGAACTGCCAGGCTTTGTGCGTATAAGAGGAGGATATAGGCGTTGTCTAACCATATAAGCCTCCTACGGTCGAACACTATTGTTTCGCTGGCGTGATTGTCAGCGCAGACAGCATCGTCATTGGCGCTGTGAAAGGGTGATTATGTCGACGACGATGACGCTTCTCCGACGCGGCGCAAGTGGTTGGTCCAAAAAGCCGTGTTACGCGTAGCGTGCTTTACCGAGGTTCGGAGCTGCGCGCTTTCCTTCTTCCGAAAGTCCTTCGTTGCGAAGCAAAGTCGCAGCTTGAAGTCGGACTCATCACTTGTACTTTTTTTTTTTTTTTTTTTGTCTCCATAAATTTGATTTTCCATCCGAGACGCGTTAGAAGGCTCCAAGAAAAGGCCACGGGCACCACAGAGTTCGACTTGGCAAGTCTTCGGTGTCGGGGACGGGCCGGGTTGGGGATCCGTTCCAGTTCCTGCAGGGCCGGAAAATAAACGAGTAAATATAAACGTGGAGACAATGAATATATAAACGTGAATAGTCATCTGAGTACAAAAACGTATACCAAAGTAAAATTGTGAATATATTTTGAGTGGATGAATACATATAATTTTATTTGAAATTCAATGCGTCGCTCATTATGGCGCTGATTACAATATGCAGTAGTTAAGACACAAGTCTCTACGCAAGATTTACAAGAAAGAGAACGGCAGAGAAATTTTAACAGAGTTACGTAGACATAAAAC